AAAGAAATGAATTGTAATCAATTACTAACGGGTTTATCATTGTTAATTGGAAACAAAAAAAAATAGTATCAACCTTATTATATATCACCATTATTTTATTTTTCACCAATAAAAGATAGCACATAATATACGCCGAAAGAATACGATAATAATTTCTATTTTTTTCGACATTTTCCCCTTCGACATTTTCCACTAACCCCTAAAGTTTAAATCGATGATAAATTTAAAATTTCAATTGTTATACGTAAAGGGATACTACATAAACTAAATACTGTAATGATTATCTTCAACATATATACAGATTATTAAATTATATTTTATATGTTTTAATTTATGATATGATGTCGACATAATTAAAAACAATAATGATGGAACGTTATATGAAAACCAATCGACAAAAATGAACACGATTATTAGTCTATTTATTTACAAAAGACACAACATCATGTACGATTTTTATGATATATTATTGGAAAATGATTATGGATTTATATTATATCTATTTGATTATCTTATTGTTGTTATACATTATTTAGTTGAACGAATCGACGAACTTACTGTTGATGTGTGCGGACATACATCTATCATAAGCGGGGAGGACTGTTAACGGTAGCTTGCATTCTGCCTATCCTTCATTCTCTATCTCTTTCTATCTCTCTTGTTCTTCTTCTCCTCTCTGTAGGTATATATATATCTAGTGATTTTAAGGACAATTGGTGAAGAGACTTAACATATGAAATAAATAAACTACGTTAGGCTCGTAAAAACGAGCTAACAGTGTTGGCTACGGATTTTACGATATCTAACGCAACATGTTTAATGTCCAATCATATTAACTTGATCGTTAATTTTGTTTACGAAGGTGTTATATAACTCTTTAGTTTCCAAGATGAGGATTTTTCTATAAATCCTGACTATTCAATCACGTATTTTCTCTTAGTAGTGAGGGCGCGGGTGTATATGTGTGCATGTATCGAAGAAACTCACGCCGACACTCCATCTTACCAATGTTGTCATTGCTTACATCTGAACCTACTCATCTCAAGTCAGCAAGGATAAAAATGCGTTCGATGCCTCGTTGTGTTCGCCATTTTCCTATGATACCTGAATAATGAACGATGTTCTACAACCGTGGAACATGTGAAGTGGCTACATATTGTCGTGATCATTTGATTTTACATATGGTTAATATCGGCATTACTTGACCTATGATTTTCAGGCGACACTTTATACCACTAGAAAACTCACGTAAATATAACTGCAACTTCTTCACCGCCAAAGGACATTGGAAAATTAATAAATGTCTCGTTGAACTTGTAATAATGATCGAAGATGAATCAAAGAGCAGAAGAAGTTCATGTGTTGTTAAGGGAACTTTCTCAGAAATGAAGTTCCACTTCGGACCCTCCCTTTGAGTGAAAACTTTCAGAGATGATTAGTCTTGGTGAGAAACGCTTATGGTAAAAATTTCAGTTGGATATGTCTAAGTAGATCGAACTTTCAGCTTGTTTTCCTACCTTCCAGAAGAATCGAGATAATTCCGGCAACAGAAGGGATACAGAGCTCGGACTGGTTTCAAATTGTCGCTAACCTCTTGACGCAAATTTTCATGGGACGAAATTTTGAAACTCTTTTTCATTAATTTTTTTACGAGTAATTTTCTAGGCATGCTTGCAACATAAACATGAAAAAGTGTGATTGGACAACTTTAAATTCCACTTTTCTTAGTTCTGGCATTGAAAATAAAAAATTCGTCCAATGAAAAGTTAGCTGTGATCAAGATTTTCAAAAGAAAAGAAAAAAAATTGGTTACATACCGAGTCGAGTGGGAATTATTCCATTTTTCCTGTGTAGAAACCGTGTTTTGAAAAAAATGCTAAATAAATCTTAGAAATCGATTTTTTTTTTCATTAAAATCTAGGACGAGTCATGTTATAGTGGTATATTCCGCTGAGTCGCCTTAAAGCACGTCATAGATGACGGCAGATAGCTCCATCTGACATGCTGATTAATATGAAAATGTTCTATTCAATAATGATGCTAATGGGAACGCAATTTTTCTGAAGCTGACAACCTTAAGAACCATAAGTTTTTCTACGAAAATATGGTAGTAGATTTCAAGTTTCATGTGATAAGTCTTTGAAAACCTGATTATTCTCCAAAAAACTATATATATATCCTGAAAGAGGAAGCTTCGCTGCATCTTTCTGGAATAAAAACGCAACTTTGATACTTTCCTGAAAAACTCGATTTTCTGAGGGAAACCTCTTAATGCTGTTGTTTTTTCGTTCCTTAATAAAGGGTGTGTGGGTGTGGGTGTAAATCAAATAGAAACAGATCAATTCATATCCCTCCGATACAAATCAATCTGCTAGTCTCAACTTTCGCTTTTCAGCAAACTACTATGATGTCGAATATAAAATATTTGATCGATGTGCTTGAATTCGAATCAATTTATAAGAAATGCAGAGTTCAATTTCGCCGACGCGTTTCGTGTTATTTATTTAAATATTAAAACACTCATCAGGGATCTGCATTACAATAAAAAGCACACTTAAGAGAACACAAAGAAATTTCTGTATAAGAGAGAAATATTCTCCATAATAGAATCCTATTTAAAATAATAAGCTACATTCTTAGGAATATAACATACAGTTATTTGAAAAAGCTATATAAAAACAAAAAAGGAATCTATAATTTTATTATACAATAAAGACCATTAGAGTTCTCAGTAACGATCTCAGATGTTAAAAAAATTCAAGGGTATGAACACATGTCTGAATTTTTATATTCCACAAATTTATCATAATAAACATAGTGAAAAGTCAATTATTTAATAAATTTAAGTGCTTCAGCTTGTGTCCAAAATGTCCTTGTTGCTGGGCCATTTAAAAATGGAATATAGTACCATTCAAATTGACACTACATTGAAGCTTTCATGTAATTGATTTGATTTAGAATATTGATATATGATTTGATGCTCAAATTTTGTGAAAGTTTTAACATTTTATAATCGATAATACAAAATTGTTTTTAATTAATATAAAATTATTAAGTTTAAGTACATATTTGATTTCAGATAAATTTAAATATGGTACTAATTTCATCACTAATCTTATTAAAAATATTCAATATAATAATATTGAGATATTAAGTCAGTAATGAATAAGTTTTTTATCTTTAAAGTGTTTTCGTAATTTAATACATAAATTGTTTGATGAATTAATATTATTATGTTGAAAAGCTTGGCAATCTGTATCTTGGCATATCTGTCGACAGATTTTCTTCTTTCTGAATTTTTAAATTAAATTCATTGTTTAATGTGTACCCGTAAATAATTAATTCATTATAAGATTATAAAGATCATGTTGACTATAAATAGTAATTTTTTCAAATACCAGTAATTTCAAGGTAGAAAGTATTTTAAAATTGCCTATTTTATTAGGATTATACTACAACTCAATGATCGTAGTAAATCAATTAATCCAATATTTATATATCTACTGATCTTGTGTGCATTAGTCGTTGTTGAAGATTATTGACATTTCGAGTACCGAGAGTAGGTATAATATCATTGATTGGAGATTCACCAAAATATTCATTCCATAAAGCATGGAATTTACCTGAGAATGTCCTCATATTTGAACAGTATGTAAAATGTACGAACACTATTTTTCCAAAATCTATAGGTACTTTTTCTTTTATTTGGGAATCAATAATTTTTTGACGATGTTGAGCATAGTTATTAGATGTTAAAAATTGTTCAATATTTAATTTTTCTAGAACATAAATAAATCGCTCATCAATAAATTTATTTGGATATTTATTTAATAATAATGCCACTCGTAGCCTTTCACGTTCATTCAAATATTCTTGAAAAGTTGAGCAATATCTAAGAGCTCGAAGTAACAAAGTAAAGATTATATTTTTCTTCATATGTAATGGATGAATGCTATTAAATGGTAAGTAATATGGCTCATACGATGGCTTTTGATAAATAGTTGTAAATAATTCACGATTTTTATTTTCTATATGTAAATCTAAAAAATCGGCCGTTACAGCTATATTTTCAGATAATTTAATGTTTTCATCAAAATGATTCCATTTGTCGATTTGCTTAAATAAATGCCGAGCAGGCCAGTTTATCGCTATAGATATATCATCAATATATCTAAAATAAAGTCCACTACTATTATGTATTTGTTTTATAATTTGCTGTTCATAAAAGAACGTATAACAATTTGCAACAGTCAATGTAAGTGGTGAACCCATTGCTCCTCCACGAATTTGATGATAATATTGGCCCTTGTAAGAAAAATAATTATTTTTCATCACAAATCGACTTAACCTAATAATTGTTTCAATTCTTAGCCCATTAATACGTCTTAATTTTAAATGGTCTAACATCTTTTTTTATGATAGTACCCCTTCAGTTTGTGGCACCATTGTATAAAGATCTACAACATCAATTGCACAAAATAAGGTTTCTTGGCACATATTTTTCTTAGACCATTCTTGCAACTGCTTTATTAATTCAAAGCCAGAGGTTACAGTAGTTTTTATAGCCATTTTATCAAATAATGGTCTTAATAGCTCATGAAGAAACTTTGATAGTTTAATTGTAGGATGCTTAAGGCCCGATACTATTGGACGAAGAGGAGTACCTGCCTTATGGGCTTTTGGTAAATAATATAAATGAGCCAGTTCGACTTCACATGGATTAATGTATAATTTTTCATATTGTTTTTGAGTAATCCATTTGGCTAATCTTAAATCCAATAAATATTTATTGGTTCTCGTAATTAGATCAGATAATGGATAATTTGTTCCTAAGCATTTATATGCTTGGGTTTTTGCCATATATTCTTCAGATTTCTTACGATAATCTTCAATTTTACATAAATGAAATACTTTAGATTTATCAGATTTACGTAAAATAACATTAGCCAATTTGGGTTTATGCTTCAATCTTTTTACAAGTCTGTCATAAATTTTCTTTTTCTTAACTTTAATTCCAGTAATTATTTGTGATTGCGATTGAGTTGCTTGACTGTTTATTAATTCAAGAATATCATTTATTTGACTCCCAATTATTCTATTATTATTAAGATTTTTATTTGATATTGAAACATCATGTAATGTTTGAAGAAGAACATCTAATTCAGCCATAAATTGTTGAAGAGGACGACAGGGGCTCACCTTCTTACGGAGAAAATAATCTTCTATTTTACGTTTCAAAGTAGCCCACTCTGTAATACGTCGTCGAGCTGCTGTTTTTGGGCCATTAAATATAAATTTTGGACCTAATTTTAATAGCTGATGTTCTTCTTCATTCAATTGAATATTAGCTTCATTAATTATTGCTGGAGCAAGAAATCCTCGCCCAGCGAACGTATTACAGTCGGAGCGGTTATTTCTTCTTGAATTAGCAGGTTGTTGGTATCGCCCTCGACTTGCAGTTCGAATAAAAAATGAAGAGATTGTTCGATTTGTATTTTTATTCTTTTTTCTCGTAATTCATGATATTGTTTAAAAGCTGTATAGCCAGGTTCAGCGTCAAATTCTTCATCTTTTTCTTGAGGAAATCTATCAACAATACCTTTAATTTCATTTGGTAAGACTTCATTTTCTCGTGCAGTTGATTGAACATATAATGTCATAGCTTGAGTACGAAAATCTTTGGTAATTTGACGCATTTGATTGTATGTGGCCTGTGCTTCATCTTGACTAATAATTGATTCATCAATTTTAAAAGAAAAGTCAACTTTCTCAATAATTTTAGGAGGGAAATCTAATTCAACACGTTTTGCCAAAATTTGATAATTTTTGTTTTTTTCAGACCAATTCTTTATTTTAGGTTTTAATATTAAACGAATATTCCATTGGGCTGAACTAGCTATTTGTTCAAAATCTTCTAATGCTTTAAATTCATCCATTTGAACTTTAGCTAATTGTATCCGGGATTGGGCTAATTTTTTCATATGTTGTGTACAAAAATGAATATATTCTAATATATACTTTTCAATACGCTCAACTGGTTTACGAGTATAATTTTTAGTAGCAGTAGTGGTAGCGGCAGGTTGAGCTATTTCTGTAGCTCCTGTAGCTAATTCATCTTCTGTATCTGTTCCTACAGGTCCTGGAGCTACTGTTGAGCATGTCTTTTCTACTGATAACTTTTTAGCTACTATATTATCTGTAGTTTGAGCTAATCTTTGATTTGCAGTTTCACAAGTTGTTTGCATCCAATATCTAGATAATTGAATTTGAAGTTCTGAAACAGTAGCACATGCTCTAGCAATATCAGTTGTTCAACGATTAATTTTCTTCTGTACAAATCGAGTATTAATTAAATCATCACGTCGTTTTGTACGTCGAATAACTTCTTTAGCCCGATGTTTTTGTTCAGTACCCATTTTAAGGTAAACTTGCCAAACTTGTAATTCATAATTATTACGAACCCAGTTTTCGTAACTTGAAGATGAAGCTAATACATATGCTTGATTACCACGACCACTGTTAGCGTCAACAGATATTACATAGTTGCCGCTAACCTTTCTCTTTTCTTTCATAGGTGTAACTACCTTCTCGCTAATCGTGTGACCTAGGTAATTTATTTTTGATACTAATAGAACACATTTAGGTGGATTTAAAACAAAATTTCGGTTGCTTAAGGCTATGAATACTTGGGTTAAATGTGAAATATGATCATCATATGTTTCGGAAAAGACAATGGTGTCATCGAGATAAACGAGAGCAAATTGACGACAGGGTTTTAATACATTAGTCATAATCTTCTGGAAAGTAGGTGGGGAATTCTTAAGTCCCATTGGAAGGACATTGAATTGAAAAAGACCGAATGGAGCGGTGAAAGCAGTTTTTTCCTTATCAGCTTCTCTGATAGGGATTTGATAGAAACCAGATTTAAGATTCAATTTAGAGAAATATTTATAACCGTGCCCTAATTTTTGTATAGTATCTTCCACGTTTGGTACAGGTGACGAATCTTTGGTGGTGATTAGATTTAACGTCTTATAGTCAACTACAAAACGATGTGTATCATCATGTTTTTTAACTAAGAAGGCGGGTGCCGCATACGAAGAATGAGATTCAGCTACTAGTTTAGCCTTCAGGAATTCTTGAATCATATTACAGGGTGGCCCAAAAGTAAGAAAAACTAGTATTTTTATCGATTTCCATCTTATAGATTGTTGTCTAGGTCTGATATTTCTATCACATATACTAGGTGTGATAGATAAAAGATTGCACATATGGACGGTATGTCCATATAATAACTGGTCCAAACCCATACATATATACAGATACAGTATATGCAATAATAGAAAGCGTTTATTGTTCCTTGTTCCCTTAGATTACTTAAACGTGTAAAGAAGGACATCTGGAAGACAACAATACTAGTGGTTATCTCTTTTATCGACTGCTTTGTTTTTCGACTCTCTTTACATTTTATGTTTTTCATATAGCTCTAACTTGTCTCATACTCTCCCCAGCATGAGTAAAAATTTTCGTTTGTCGTTACGTCAACAAACTGAAAATGTGAAGTGGTATGCCGTTTACCAAAATGCAACAGAAGTAGGTCGTCAATTTCAAAATCGTTTCGATCGAACTCCTCCAACATCTAAGAATATTTTGAGTCTGGTACGAAAGTTTGACGAAATTGGAAGCCTCGAAGATAGACCGCGATCTGGTCGGCCTAGATCTATTAGTACCGACGAGAACAAAGAACGTGTTCGTTCTACTTTTGAAAAAAATCCTCCAACTTCAACAAGAAGAGCATCTTTGGATCTGAATCTGTCTAGAAGTAGTCTTCAACGTATGATGAAAGAACTGAAGTTGAAACGGTATCGTCCACAACTGCTGCATTATTTGAACGAAGACGATCCTGACAGAAGTTGTGAATTTGCCGATACCTTTCTTAACCTACTGGCTGACGACTCTTCCTTGCTTGATCGAATTGTTTGGGCTGATGAAACCATTTTCAAGTTGAATGGTCTTGTCAATCAACACAACTGTGTTGATTACGCTGTAGAAAATCCCCATATTATCATTACTCAAGAAATGAATAGTCCAGGTATCACTGTGTGGGCAGGCATTTGGGTTCGAGGCATCATCGGACCGTTCTTCTTTCATGGTAACGTTACTGCAGACAACTATTTAGAAATGCTACAAAAAGATATTGTACCCTCTCTTTCAAGTCAAATGAATTTAGAAGACGTAGTCTATATGCACGATGGAGCACCGGCTCATTACGCTCGATCTGTCCCGCACTTTTTGGACAAAACATTCCCTCACAGTTGGATTGGTCCACGTGGTTGGATTGACTGGCCGGCAAGGTCTCCCGACCTTACACCGACTGATTTCTTTTTATGGGGTGTAATTACGGAGCGTGTATACGCGACCAAACCTCAGGATCTGCAAGCACTAGAAGATGCTATACGCACTGAAATACAAAGTTTACCGGTGAAACTTCGTCAAAGCGCTTGTCATTCAGTACCCAGAACACTTCAACTTTGCAGAGACTTAGAAGGTAAACACATTGAACAATTTTTCTGAATGATTTCATAATAAGAACCCTTTCGGAAGACATACCTCCACAAATGTTCTCTTTACTAAAAGCTTTTGCTACTACTTTTGTTAGAATTCGAAAGTTTTTTTGTCTTGTTAATCATTCTGCATTTGAACATTTATAGATAGATTACTATATCTGGATATCGTTCATATGCGCAATCTTTTATCTTCATACCTAATACACGTGGTAGAAATATCAGGCCTAACCAACAATATATAAGATGGAAATCGATAAAAATACGATTTCTCCTCACTACTGAGCCACCCCGTTGATAGAACAGACATGATGGACACTATTGACAAGATGAGCACTGTTAAATCGGTGATTAAAATTAACAATATCGATACAACAGAGATGACGAGCAAAATCGACATCATGGGCACCGTTAGAATGACTATTGAACTCAACAATATACATAGGAGCGAGACGATGGGCAATCTCGACATTATGGGCACTGTTAAATTGATGACTAAAATTAACAATATTGATAGAAAAGAGATGATGGCCAACATCAACATGATGGCCAAGATCCACTTCATGGGCACCTCAACTTGAACCATAAAATCGACAATATTCATAGAAGAGGGATGATGGCCAATATCAAGATGATGGGCACCTCAAATTGCACCATAAAATCGACAATATTGTTAGTGGAGAGATGATGGGCAACATCAAGATGATGGGTGAATCCCATACATAGGGCACTATTAAAATGAACAATAAAATAAAAAATACCGATGGAAGATAGACGATGGGCAAATTCGACATGTTGGGCACTGTTAAAATCATCAATAAAATAAAAATTATTCATAAAAGAGAGATGATGGGCAAATTCGACATGTTGCGCACTGTTCAAATCATCAATAAAATAAAAAATACCGATAGAAGAGAGATGATGGGCCAATTCGACGTCTTTGGCAATGTTAAAATGATCAATAAAATAAAAAATATCGATAGAAGAGAGATGATGGGCAAATTCGACATGTTGGGCACTGTTAAAATCATCAATAAAATAAAAATTATCGAGAGAAGAGAGATGATCCGTAAAATCGACATGTTGGCCGCTGTTAAAATGATCAATAAAATAAAAAATATCGATAGAAGAGAGATGATGGACAAATTCGACATGTTGAGCAATGTTCAAATGATCAATAAAATAAAAAATATCGATAGAAGAGAGACGATGGGCAAATTCGACATGTTGAGCAACGTTAAAATGGTCAATAAAATAAAAAATATCGATAGAAGAGAGATGATGGGCAAATTCGACATGTTGAGCTGTGTTAAAATGATCAACAAAGTAAAAAATATCGATAGAAGAGAGATGATGGGCGAATTCCATATGTTGAGCAATGCTAAAATGATCAATAAAATAAAAAATATCGATAGAAGAGAGATCAGGTGCAAATTCGACATGTAGAACGATGTTAAAATGATCAATAAAATAAAAAATATCGATAGAAGACAGATGATGGGCAAATTCGACATGTTGAGCAATGTTCAAATGATCAATAAAATAAAAAATATCGATAGAAGAGAGACGATGGGCAAATTCGACATGTTGAGCAACGTTAAAATGGTCAATAAAATAAAAAATATCGANTTCGTTTATGTGGTAGCATGGATTCTTTAGGGCGAGGAGTGTGATAAATAACCACAATTAAATTTGTTTAAAATAAATAACTTTATTCCGATTCTATTTGATGGGAACTAGAACCTCATCAAGTTATACGCAGCCATGACCGGTTTCGACCTTTCTCAGGGATTTTATCCCTACTTTCAATCCTGTTCAATCCTTGAAAAATCTTGGAAGGATCTTCCAGGATCCTACTTCTCAAGGACCCTGCCAAATTTTAATCCGGATCCTCTGTCAAACCCTACCGATTCTTGCTGCGAGGGTTTTTTCCAGCTTAAGCAAGATTTTGTTCAGGATTTCAATTCGAAAACAGATCAATCTATGCTTTAACGAAAACACAAATCGATCTGCTAGTCTCAGGTCTTGCTGTTTCAGCAATCGATTTTTTAGTCAAAATCAATTGAAATTTTCAATAGACAATTAGAATGTAATAAGTAAATGCAGAATTAAATTGTTGTTGCCGACGCGTTTCGTGTTATTTATTGAAATAAAGAAACACTCTTCAGGGCTCTGCATTTACAATAAAGTGAAAAAATTAAATAAAGTAAAATGTAACTTAAGAAATAACAAACTGCTTAAATGAAATTGATTAAATAGGATATAAAAGACAAAAGTACAAAACATAAAAATGGCAAATAAAGAGACTTTTAAGATGTTTAATGTTCTTTAGAAACTTTTAAATTTATTGTTATTAATCTTTGAATAATAATTCTATTTTAAAATCGAAATATTTGTATATATAATTTTTGGTCGAACTGTAATATATAATCTTAGAATTTTATCTAAATAGTAATTCTTGTATTTTAGATTGATTGATCAAATTTTATAGATCAAATTTTATAGTATTGAGTATTGATAGTGTATAATATAGTAGTATACTTATAATTAAAATAAACGTTATTTTTTGTAATTTTGATTCAATGGTGAGGAATATCCTTGTATAATAACTGTTTATTAACAATACTCTTGAGATAAATTGCAATTGTAATAACTTTTGAATAATAACTGTTTATATGATAGCTTCCCACAATAATAATTTTCGAATAATTTTTTTAATGGTAACTTTTAATAAGAATAATTTTGTAGTAATAACCTTTTAATTGTAATACTTTTAGTAAAATTTGTAATTTTTATAAAAATGATGCTTTTTCAAATAATAAATTGTTTCTTTAAATTGAAGCTATAATTTGACAGTTAGTATGGTATATTTTAGGTTATACATGACTTTTAATAATAAATAATAACCGATAATACATTGTAATTCGTATTTAATAAATTATAGGTTATACATGACTTTTTATAATGAGTAATAATAGATAATGTCATTGTAATTTACAATTAATCAATCATAGTTAATCAATTATAGTTTACATATAATGTTTATTTTATTTGATTATTTTCTATGTTAGTTTTTTCTAATTAAATTGTGCTCTATTTTTAAGGAATTATATAGTTGTTTATCATTTAAATGAAGTGTTTAATCATAACTTGGTAACAATAATTTTAATAAGATTAAAATTTATAATATTATTGATAAATTATTTATTTTATAATTATTATTTGTAATTTTTCTTGAACCATAATAATTTTGAATTACTTATAACATTTTATTTATTATCTAATATTTCATTATAGTAATATATAAGTAATCATAATGTTAAATATTAATTATAGTATTTTATGGTATTAATAAATTTAGTTGCATTCTTGATAACTTTTAATAATAATTTCCAAATAATAATTTCAATTGAAATTTAAAATATAATACCAATTGAAATTTAAAATATAATACCAATTGAAATTTTTGAATTCTCTTTCTAACCATTGAAATTTGCCTTAAAGATCATTGATTTTTATCTATTTAACTATTATATGTTTATTTTATATGATCATAATTTAATTTGATTTATAACTATTTAATAGATTGATATCAAGTTATTTAATGATATAGTTGATGATAATATATCATTTCTTTATTTAATATTTTGTTTAAATTTCAGTTATTTAAGTAAAGATTTTTGTAATAACATATTATTTTCTTGTATGGACCAATCGTCTTTGAAGATTTGCCACATTTCGAGTTCCAAGTATTGGTGTAATTTCATTTATTGGGGATTCACCAAAATATTTCTCCCAAAGAGAATGAAACTTCTTTGGAAATAATCTCATATTTGAACAATAAGTGAAATGAACAAATAAAGTTTTTTCATAATTTAGCAATTGTTTTTCTTTTTGTGGGTCATTAATAATCTTCTGACGATACGTTTGATAATTAGACATTTTCAGTGGTTCATTAATATTATATTTTGTAAGTAATTTATTAAATTGATCATCGATAAATTTACCAGGATATTTATTCAATAGAAGAGTCATCCGTAGTTTTTCTCTTTCTTCTAAGTATGAATCAAATGTTGAACAATACTTATCGCTCTTAATAACATTGTTTAAGGTATGTTTTTCTTCATGTGAAGTGGATGGATACTATTAAATGGTAAGTAATACGGTTCATAAGATGGCTTTTGATATACACTTGTAAATAATTGACCATCTTTATTTTCCATATATAAATCGAGGAAATTTGTTGATGAACCAATATTTGCTGATAATTTAATATTTTCATCAAATTTATTCCATCTTTCGATTTGTTTGAACAAATAGCGAGTTGGCCAATTAATTGCTATAAATATATCATCAATATATCTAAAGTAAAGACCACCACTATTTATAACTTGTTTAACTATTTGTCTTTCATAAAAATACATATAACAATTAGCCATAGTTAAGGTAAGTGGAGAACCCATGGCTCCTCCTCTTATTTGATGATAATATTGACCATCGTAGAAGAAATAATTATTCATCATAACAAATCGACTTAATCTTATAATCGTTTCTACTTTTAAACCTCCCACTTGTTTAAGATTTAATTCATCCAACATTTTCTTTAATGAAAGTACTCCTTCTATTTGAGGGACCATCGTATATAAATCGGCTACATCAATTGTACAAAATATTGTTTCTTGACGCATATTTTTGATAGACCATACTTGTAATTGTTTGACTAATTCGAAACCTGAAGTGACCGTTGTCTTCAAAGCCATTTGATCAAATAGAGGTCTTAATAAATCATCAAGAAATTTTGAAATTTTGACTGTCGGATGCTTCAATCCAGATATAACTGGTCTTAGAGGAGTACCAGGTTTATGAGCCTTTGGTAAATAATATAAATGAGCTAATTCCACTTCATTTGGGTTAATAGATAATTGTTCATATTGTTTTTGAGTAATCCATTTAGCTAGTCTTAAATCTAATAAGTATTTATTAGTACGCTGAATTAAATCTGGTAATGGATCATTGTCGCCTAAGCATTTATAAGCTTGGGTTTTCTCCATATATTCTTCAGATTTCTTTTTATATTCTTGAACTTTACCTAAATGGAATACTTTAGATTTATCTGATTTTCGAAGAATAACACTAGCTAAATGGATTTTATATCTTAATCTTTTAACAATTCGACCATAATTAGTTTTCTTCTTATATCGTATCTTCTTTTGAGTACTTTGTGATTCTTGACTTGATTGAATTGTTGTTAATAGATTATCAAATAATTCATTGCCACCATTATTTAATTGTCGATTAATTTTATTAACAGGAACATGATGTAATTTTTGAAGCAAGACATCAAGTTCATTAATAAATTGATCAACAGGTCGACCGGGGCTAATATCTTTTTCGTTAAAACGATTTTCAATTTTTCTTTTTAAGGTTGCCAACTCTATAGTTCGTCGACGAGCAGCTGTTTGAGGATCATCATATATAAATCGAGGTCCTAATTGTAATACTTGATGTTCTTGTTCTGTTAATTTAATATTTGCTTGATTAATTATTGTTGGAGCGAGAAATCCCCGCCCAATGGTCGAGCCGGAGTCGGAGGAATAATTGGTATTTGTTCGTTGATATTTCCCTCGACTCGCTCTAAGGCTAAAAAATAAACTGATTTTTGTATTTGTAAATTAATTCGTTTTTCACGTAATTCATGATATTGTTTAAAAGCAGCATAACCAGGTTCAGCATCGAATCCATCGTCGTTATCTTTAGGAAAACCTTCAATAATTCGTTTTATTTCAGCTTCTAATAATTCTGTTTCACGACCCATGGATTGAAGACATATTATCATCACTTTTGTACGACAATCTTTCATTGTTTTTGACATCTGGTTATATATCGCTGATGCTTCATCGCGAGGAATAATAGCTTCATCAATTTTGATATTATATCAAGCTTTGAAATTGCTTTAGGTGGCATATCATATTCAACACGTTTAAGTAATAAATTATAATTTCGATTTTTAATTGACCACGATTTTACTTTTGCTTTTAGATTATTATGTGTATTCCATTGGGCTGGAGTTGCTATTTGTTCAAAATCTTCGAAAGCTTTATATTCAGCTAATTCAGCTTTAGCTATCTGAATACGTGATTCTGATATCTTCTTTATAGCTAATGTATTTTGATGAATATATTCTAATATATATTTTTCTAATTTATCGATTGTCTCACGTATTGAATGTTTTTGTGTTGTATTTGCAGATGAAATAGTTGTTGTAGCGTTAGTAGTATTAGTTCCTGAACTTTCAGCTACTGTACTTGTGGTAGCGTTAGTAGTATTAGTTCCTGGTCTTTCAGTTGCCATATTTGCTCTTGATTCAGCTTGTTTTTGAAAACTAGAATCAGTTGTAGCTTGAATCCAATATGTAGTTAATTGAATTTGTAAATCCGTTATTGCAGCTGATGTCTGTAAAGTTTTTGCATTTGTTTGATTAATCTTCTTTTGAACAAAAAGAATATTTGTCTTGTCATCACATTTCTTTGTTCTTTGAACTACTCCTTTCGCCCAATGTTTTTGTTCTATACCCATTTTTTGAAAACATTGCCATATTTGTAATTCATAATGACTCGAACCCAATTATCATAGAGTGAGGCTGTTGCGAATATATAACCTTGATTACCACGACTAGTAATCATACTTTTTGAACCTCTTGAATTTTCATCAAACCATTTTAATATACGATTAGGTTCCAAATATGCTTTTATTTTCTTTGTTTTCTTCTTATTATTTCTAATAGATGAAACTGGTATATTATCATCTACTTCAACATCATTTTGATCATTATTATCATTAGTATTATCATCTTCATCAACTAAAGCAGAAAATCGATTATTTGTTGTTGAAACTTGACGATATTGTTGTTGTTGTAATCGACGTTGACGACGTCTAAATGATGAAGTAGTTGATGGATTTTGTCGTCGTTGTTGTTGTTGTCGACGATCATCATTATTTTCATTAACAACAAAAGGTTGTGTCGCATTATTAATACCAGCTCTAATAAATCTTTCTCGTTCAGGTAAAGCATCCATTGGAGTATTAATAGTAGTAGTCGTTGTTGTCGCTGTTGTTGCTCCATCAATATTGAATTGAGCAGGAAGATTTCTGTTAT